GTTCATGCGCTATAAATTATCAAGAATACCAAGGCTGTCTGGACATTTGATACCGATTATCTCGTGATAGTGTCGCGAACGGAGTCCTTTCTCGAAAACTGTTCTGGACCAAGGATGAATCGAACTACTCCTCCACAATCAGACGCAACGTGATACCATTACACTACCGGCCCTTGTGCTCCAGGTTCAGCCTAGCAGCTCATCTACTATTGTGCATCTGCCTTTCAGTGTAGGATGCACCTTTCTTTTCTTCTCCGCCTTCCACAGACAGTTTCCGTCTTTTTCTTTGTGGTGGCTTCTCGCGAACTTTCCACGACAGCTGGTACTGGGAATGTTTCCAAACGTTGGGCTCATCTATGCCAGGCTCTTTGATGCTAATATTTATTAGAGTTTATTGCTGCAATTTTACAAAAGCACAAGAAAATTTATTTAGAGCTCAACCGTACGATGGGTATTTGTCGGACATGTGGAGTGCTGGTATTGTGTTGTACGTGATGACCACCGGAATGATGCCTTATGACGATAAACATATTAAAAGGATGCTCGAAAAACAACTGCAACATCGGTAATTAAAGTGCTGTACATTTACATCAGTGAATTCAAATTTTTCGGTTTTAAATTTAAGTGCATTTTTCAAGTTTCGATTCACTTTTTTGACCATTTTTTCATTTCAAAATATTTTGTTTTCCAACTCGTGGATGTTATTATCTTTACGTAAAAATTTTGCGACATTAATTTTTGACATTCTAAATAGTGTGTTGGGGTCAGCCCAGTGGTCAGTCTGTTGGCGATCCCAAGTTTCTTTTTGTCTCCTAAAGGGATTACTAGTTCGACGGCCTTTCGGCTTTGGCCATTAAGGAGATTCAACTGTGCTCTGCTAAGCATTGTAACGCTGAGGTACTTCTGCTACCATATGCAAAACAAACAGGAATAGTGCATGCCGTGCCACATAAATCAGTGTGAATTTTTTTGATTTTTGACCCGAAATTGCTTTTTTTTCCAGGATATCATATCCAAGAGGAATAATAATAAGCCAAGAAGTGAAGCGACTAATAA